GTTCTCTAACTGATGTCAGCTCATGATGAAATTCTCTAACCAATCAAACAAAAAAAATTCCCTACAAAACCAATACTTGAAAATTTACACCCTTTATTTATCACACCTGAAGTGATTTTTCAATGCTTTACTCTAGTTTCACTTTTCATTCTCATTATCTCTTATGACCATTTTGTTTCAATAATAAGCATTTCCGTTTTCAAATTTTATCACATCCAATCTACAGTTGACCTGGTCTTTACTTTTTTTCTCTTTTGATCTGTTACTGGTTTTTTTCACCGTTTCTTGCTCTCTTTTTTGTTTTACTGTTTTGTAAGCGTGACTGACACTTCACCATGTGTGTTCAACTGTAGATGGGAATAATAGAAAAGCATATTAGCTAACTGTGAAACAAAAGAGGCGTGGAGGACACGAGTGATAGACGGTGAGGAGGAAACTCTCTCACACCTTTCGGTCATTAGTTAAAGGGTGGAAAAATAGGGAAAAAAATAATATTCATACTATCACGGAGGTTGAGAAATTCAACAGAAATATTTTGTTTCATACTGACTAGTGAATAGTTGATGTGAAAAGTAGATCATAGAAGAGAAAAACAAGAGGAAATTTCCAGTAGAACACCTCGACATTTGTAAATAACGAGGGGCAAATAATGGGGTTATTTTTTAAGATTATTGACTTTCATCACGAACTAAATGGTTAGTTAGAGAGGCTATTGAAAACTAGGAAGCTTTGAACAGACGTTTTGTCACAGTTTGGATCTCTTCATCGATGCAGACTGCATGACTGCACCAGCAGGGATCCAAGCCAGTATCTTGAGGTAACGAGGTTGAGCTCGTCGACCCCTGTTGGCCATTAGGTTTTGAATTCACTGATTTGTGAATTCTGTCTCTGTCAGTTTGTGAGACAGCCCAACTCTCATCCAGTACCCTCGATGAACATCTACTTCACTTTCACATGGTGAACCACAATGCTCACGACTTCTCAGTGCATCCTCAGGACATTCATCTAGCAGCTGTCAATAAATTAGAGACTGATATCTAGATAGTCGCTTTTTGTGGGGTTCTGAATTAGCTCCAGTGTAGATTTCGCCACAAACCGACATCATTTAAAGAGATCATTGGAGACAATGGAGTACTGGAAAACTGTTCCGTGCTTTATTGGTACTCCTCAGCAATGCACACCTTCGATACCCCAAAACACTGAACTCAAGACCTACACGTTAAGAGGTGGAGCTTACTGATCATTAAGTCACTTGAAATGGAATTCACTGACTCCTGAGTTCTAACTTTGTCAACTCATGATGTAGCGCTACCCTCAAGTAGTGCCTTTCATGTGCATGTACTATACTGTGACAAGATGGACCACACTGGTTACGACTTCTCAGTACCGGTTGAGTGCATCAATCTAGAGTGACTCTAAGCTATAGCAGCCTAAAATGAAACTACCTAATAAAGACCTTGACAAATCTCTATCGACCAATCAGATGCATTCGAAGCAGGAGTGCGTAATTTGAAAAAAAAGACGTTTATGTATAAGTAATGCAACGTTAAAAAGTGGTTACATAGAATGACTTACTTGTATATGTTCCGAGAAAACCACCCAGTTTTTCATGAGAGTCCTCAAATTTAAGTTAAACCAACTTATATGCGTAAATTCTTCGAGATAACTGTAAAGCATCGTGTTTCTTGACTGATTCACCGCTCCGACCCTCTTTTTCAAGCAATTATAGAAACTTTCAATGTAATTTGTGTCAGTCTCATCGAAAGGATTAACGAAATCGTCCGTATTATTGACCACGTTATAAATATAATCCATGGATGCCAGTTGACTACACATTTTTTCCCTTCCAATGGGCTTGTGGTTCAAGCAGTACTTAAATAATAGATCTGAATGAAATTTGGTACATAATTCGTGTACAGCACTCATAATTCCGTCTATATACTGCGGACTAATCTGATTGGTTGCTCAAGGTCATTAATACGCTCACTAGGTTGTTTTGTCTTGGGCTGCTATGGTTTATAGTCACCCTATCTAGCAGCCTTCAGTTAGTTAGAGACTGACATTTAGATTGTGAATTTTTTGGAGAATTCAAGGGTCATTGGATTCCCGCCTAAGTGGCTAAACAGTCAACCTTAAGACCTTGGACTTGATCCCTGGTGGTGTCACTGGTTGCAGTGTCGACGAGTCCCAAACTAGGACATGAGAGGTTTTCAGTGCCCTCTCGTTCCCCAGGATCTCTAACTGGTGTTGATTCGTGATGACATCTACACTGGGATTATATTTGTTTAGTTAACCGTTACCAAATGAGTAGGATTAAAATTTGGTGGAAAGTAAATAGTACTCTGCATTCCAGAGTTGAAGGTATTATTGGCTGAGATGAATTTTCGTAATACTAATAAGGAAACATTTGAAGAATTTTAAAGAAGAGTTTTCCTTATTCTTGGCTTCGTCTTTACCCTCAGTCGTTTAGCTTTCAGGTTGTATGAAGTTTTATTAACAGTTTCATGATATCAGTCCATCCTACTAAGGACTACTCACTCCCAGTGAGTGATGATGCTAAGAATCGAAAGTAGTATTCATTTAAACGATGGGTTCCTAATAGAGTGAAATATACTTCCTAAAATTCGACTCTTCGTCACCACTAAACAAGTGACCTTCAAGTGATAATCATAATGACTTTCACGGATTGGTTCGAAATGGCCCTTCTGTAAAAAGTCCACAAGAAATCAGATATCAGAATAATGAATCGGGGGATTTTGTTATTTTCAGTCATTCAATACATGAGGAGTGCGCTGGTCGTTTAACGCAATCGACCATTCTCATTTCACCGCAGACTATGTAAATTGCTAATTCAATACGCCTAGAAATCGGGTGGTTAGTAATGATTCTCTGATCTTAGCTGAGTCAAAACCGGGTACACCATTGAAAAGATCGGTGGCATAGTGGTTAGGACTCTCGCTGACAATGCACATGGTCCGGGGTTCGATCCCCTGCCGACGCACACCCGATATCAATGGTCGGCCTGCGAAAATTGGGCTACCGATATCCATGCTGAAAATTCCATACTTGTACTGAAAATACGGTGTGGCATCAAGCTGTAATAAAAAAAATGGCAAAATAGCCATTCACCACCAAAATCTCAATAGCAGGCACTACTGCTCTATGTGAGTCGTATACAACTACTCATCCCATTAAATGAGTAGTATCAGGATTTCATTATGAACTGATATCAGTTATAGGATCATTGGAAAGCCTAGCATTACTAAACAGTTGTTTCGTCCTAGTTTGGGACTCTTCAGAATACGCACTCGCCATAGGGGATTCCAATCCAGGACCTTCTGGTTACAAGACTAGCGAGCTCGTTGACCATTAAGACACTGAGACCCGATACAGTAGCCAGTCCATGAATTCCAACTTCTGCCAATTCACAATATGGTGCGACCACTAGCCAATTTCACCGTTGACGTGTATTTGGCCTCACAGCCAACCTGCTGTACTTCTTTGGGCACGACTTCCCACTAGAACCCAGAAGGTACAGCAGGTTTGGTGTGAGGCCTAATACACGCCAACGATGACATTCGCAGGTGGTCGCGCCACATCATGAATTGTCAGAAGTTGAAATTCATGGACTGGCCACTGGATTGGATCCCACTGTCTTAATGGTCTACGAGCTCGCTTGCCCTGTAACCGAAATGCCATGGATTCATACCCCTGTGGTGAGTGCTTACTGATGTAGAGTCCCCAAATATGAAGAAAGTGGGATCTGCAGTACTCCAAGCTTGTTTTCCAATGGTTCTCTAAGAGATGTCAGTTCATGATTAAGTCCTGAAACCAATCAAATTCATGCAAACCAACCCTTGGAAATCAGTAGTATATAAAGTCACGCATTTATTTTTACCTTCTGGATTACCACTTAGTGTATGAAGAAGATAACATATCGTGGTGTAAATAATTTTGGTTTCCAAAGGTAACTGTCATAAAATTTCACCTCCTAAAACTGTGTAATTTACAACATAATGACCAGTTAGTGAAGTAGAATTTTATTTAGTATACAGACTGAAAGAAACAAGTGGGCATTTGTGATACATTTTAAAACTTTCCGGTCACACTACTTCATATACAGTAATTTATTTTTGAAATCTTCGCTTAAGATCACTAGATGAATGAATGGGCTTGCCTCTTAGTCTGAGCACTGTCAGCGTGACTTCGATCGATGCATCATCAGAAAGTAAACCCAGTTGATACAAAAACTTCAGAACAAAGAAAAACTTATAAAATAAAGTTATTTTTCTCTGGAATCATGAAAGCACGATGATTTAGGCTGGTGAAAGCCTTCAAGAAGCCAGTCAGTCAGCCAGCCGATGTGTATTCTTTCAATGAAAGCGCAAATAAGCAATGGAACATATAATACCCTCACGATATTTAAGATTGGCTAGAAAGGCTATCCAGATGACAATCGTGGGACCAGTGAGAATGCAGCTGTGGTGCAGGAGAAAGATCAGATAGGCAGCGAATCAAATAAAAATTTATCTCCTACTCAAGAAATATACGAAAGGAAATGGAGATGGATTGGAGGTTGAGAGGTGTCACTTACCAGGCACATGAGTAGAGCAGGAACACGAAGAGACCATTTGGCCATTTTTTAAATTTTGATTATAGCTTGATTCCACACTGTAGTTTGAGTACAGGTATGCAGTTTTCAGCATGTGATATCGGTAGCCCAAATTTTGAAGGCTGACCACTGATATCGGATGTGCACCGGTAGGGGATCGAACCTCGGACCATGCGCATTGTCGGCGAGAGTCCTAGCGGCTGTGCCACCGACGTAGGTAGAAGATAACAGAAGATTATGGGCAGTCGTGAAATCGGTTAAAAACAGGCTGGAGAAAAAAGACTAAAATGGTGGTGTATTTCCGTGGCCATAGCAATAATAATAACAATAATAATCACCTACAGGATGGAGTTTAACATTTTCAAAAACATTTTTTGTTATTTTCCAGGAGACTCTTTTCGTGAATGTCTATCAAACGGAAGTTGGGCTGAGAAAGCCGATTATTCAAATTGTACTGTCATAAATCCGGTAAGTTTGTCATGCAGCGCTTTTTTGTTTTTGTTTTTTGTTTCATATTTTATAGACATCCGTAACTTACCAATTTTCCTTTGGTCACATTTCTGTCACTCTTGCGCCTTCTACTTCCCTTTCTCATGTTGAATAGACAAAAAGTATTTCAGTAGTGAATTATTATGACTTTTTGGAATATTTTTGGTTTCCTTTATAATGAAAGATATTGCTGTTTTCACTGACGTTTCGCTGTCTGATGTCGCTACCACCAGCTTTATCAAAGTAGTATTAATAAAGCAGAATTTACAAAATCTTAGCTTACATATACAACAATTTAATCACCGTTTATCAGCATTGGATAATTTTTACTCTGCTGTCAAGTTGGCCAGTTAGTAAAGATAATAGAGCCGGGTGTAGATTGTTGTATTTGATAAGCGTATAAAATTATAAAAGCGGTATGTGTTTTCACAATGAAATTGTCAGTTCATGGAGGTAGGATAGGGTATTGCAGCCAGGTCAGATTCTGTTTTAGTCCACCATTCATTCTTATTCAAACAATTTGTATTCCATTTGTTATGAAGTGCTTCTGATGACATGAGACGTTCTTTGTGATTTCTGAGATTTTTCTGGATTATTTCATAATTGTCAAAATGAATTTTGTAGCATGATTCTACCGTAGTGCGTATACCTATTACTAATGATTTTCCTAGCTTTTCTAATTCAACTGAATTTCTCGGTGGCTGAACAGATGCTCTACAGTTTTCACTTTTTCCGATCTTCATTTTTCTCATTATTCCATGCACTTTATTTGTAGACAAAATTAGATTGAGCATCCTCAGAGATTTGGTCTTTTACATGGACAAGATTGCTTTTTGTTGTGTGAGTCTGATGTTTAATAGAAAACTCTGATTTTCTATTTACTGAGTACTTTTCTGATATCGTCTGACGTTTCTTATCTGTATACAATAACAACTGTTGAGGCTCATGTCTTCGGAATGGGTTTTTGATCATATTCAGTGTCGGTGTTGATTTATGTTGATCTCGTTTTAGCACAACGAAAGTATCATCAACATGTCTCAGCCATATTTTAGGCGCGAGTGTGTTTGAAAAGATGTTATCTTCGAGTCTGTTCATGAAATGGTCAGCGACTATTGGATAAACTAGTATACTCATGGCTACACCATTTTTCTGTCTACATAAATTCCCCTTAAATGTAAAATAATTACTTTCCAGACAGAATTTTAAGCTCCTAATTATTTCACTGGTGTTCAGTGGACATTTTTATGTTAGAGTAGTACCTGATTCTAGTAAACTGAAAATGATATTCAGACTTTCTGCGATGGAGATACTAGTATATAATGAGTTAATACCATAGCTTAACATAATGTCTTCTTGGTCAATTTCTCGGTGTTCTATTTCGGATTCGAAATCATATGAATCTTTTATAACATTCTAAGTGTCCTTTCTCAGTGGTTGCAGTATCAGCAATAAGTTTTTGGAGAAGTGGTAGCTCGGGGAGTTGGTAAAATCTACTACTGGAATTAATGGAACTGTGGTTTTATGTATCTTGGGTTGACGGTAGAATCTTGAGGGTACATGAGATTGCGTTTTTAGTTTAAATCAAAGAGAATTTCCAATTTGGCGTTTTAGTTTTTGAAAGAGTCTGCTGGTATTCAGTTTCATTTTGTTGAATTCAGTGGATTTTTTCTTTTCTTCAGTAAGTGTTTACGGTCCTTCGGATAGGTGTTCAGTTGCCTTCCTTTCATAATCAGTCATTTGGTTAAAACAATGCTTTTGTCCTTTCGCTATCTGAATAGAAGTAGGGGCTTCAAGGTTGAGCTTTAAGTTATCAGAAGCAGTTGTGTTGCTTTTACGAGGGGGGATTACAAGCATAATGTTCAACCTTCCTTTTTTACGCGGCCTAACTTCGGCTAAGCGTCGGCTGGGTATCGAAAACCGCCGTCTACTGGCATGACTCTAAAAATTCTATCACTGAACTACCTGTAGAAATGGATAGTTTAGATACTTTAGACAAATTTTAATAGGCTTCTACATAAAAATGTTTCTCAGGTATATTGAATACTTTTCTCTTTACATGATGAAAAAGATTGTAAAACCAACATGAATTTTGATTAGGCTTCATATGAGCACATTGAAACATGAGTTTATGAACTTTCGCCTATCATCTGAAACTATTCCGCTTCGGTTGTGTTCTCTGAGTTAGTTAATTTAACTGTGAAGATCTCAGTGTCCTTCTAGAGAACATCTTCGGTGTAAGCATTAGTATGTAGCGAACTTATTTGAATTCTCCACACGAGTGATATAATTGTATCTCCTGACAGACATTGTCCTGATAGGCTGTTAATTCACATCCATTCCAATTGTTTTATTGACCTGAAATTTGAACTTCTTTGTTACGTGGCTTAAACTTTATTAGTTGGTAAATCTGATCTATAATGAGGAATAAAAAGACAGTTGCAGCGAGGAAAATTTTCTTTTCGACGAAATCATCAACAAGGCTGTACATTCATGTATTTATAATAAATGGGTAGGAAAGTTCCAGAATAATTTCTGGTCAAGGGTCAGATTAATAAAATTACAATTAGAAATTAAAATGCCATAATAAACAGGGGGAGGGAGGGATAAAACTCAAACACTGTAGTACCATAATCACTGAGGAGATTGACAGATTGTGCAATTAGGGTTTAGAAATGTAGAAATAACAAAATAGATAGACAGGATGTTTAGATAAAATATCTAGTGGGATCATAACTAATGTGACGAATAGTTGTTTATGCAATCAGAAATTAAATATGTAGAAATAATAAAATAACAAAATAGGAAGTTCGGATATGAAAATATAGTAGTGTATATAGGGGTTTACACTACCATATTTACACTACCTATTTACACTACTATATTTTCATATCCGAACTTCCTATTTTGTTATTTTATTATTTCTACATATTTAATTTCTGATTGCATAAACAACTATTCGTCACATTAGTTATGATCCCACTAGATATTTTATCTAAACATCCTGTCTATCTATTTTGTTATTTCTACATTTCTAAACCCCAATTGCACAATCTGTCAATCTCCTCAGTGATTATGGTACTACAGTGTTTGAGTTTTATCCCTCCCTCCCCCTGTTTATTATGGCATTTTAATTTCTAATTGTAATTTTATTAATCTGACCCTTGACCAGAAATTATTCTGGAACTTTCCTACCCATTTATTATAAATACATGAATGTACAGCCTTGTTGATGATTTCGTCGAAAAGAAAATTTTCCTCGCTGCAACTGTCTTTTTATTCCCTGTGATCAAATGTGTATATTCTGTGATCGATAATAATGCGTGTTCATTAATTGCGGATTCATCTGAGTGCCAGACTAGTAGAAATTCTATACCATTTTTGATATTTCCTTTGCTAAATGGTTTTGCATTTTCTCAATCAAATTGGTATCGATATGGAAGAGTACATATCGTGTTCTTGGATTCTAATTCAAAGGGGATGCCCACTTAGACCGATTTAGTGTTTATTGCAGTTCATGGGATATAATTTGTAAATGGTATCAATTTTATTTTCTTTTTCTGTCGGGTCTCTTTTCCTGTACAGTATTTAATGAGATGATTGTGTTGGCTTGTGTGATATATCTAATTCAAATGGCCTTTGGGGATGGTTTCTTGTTGGTATTATTATTGTTCCTTTGGGTTCCAAGTGGTACATATGGCTACAACAATACATCTCCACTTTTCCCCATCTTCTGCTCTCATCTTCACCTTAGTCCACGATCGTCCATAATCTCTCATCTCTTCCTCCTCAGAAGGTCTTCTCCATGTCACCCTCGCACTAACGATCCCCTCATCATTTCCCATTCGCATTCTTCTCGACAACCTCCGTGGCGCGCAATACCACCCAATGGTCTCTTTAGCGTATATCCCATCCACCCTTATTTTCTTTGACATATTAATTGAACGGAAAGTTGTTGGTCAGTTTGGTTCTACAGTTTTGTATTGCTAATTCTTTCTCGCCGGCTGTTTGACCTTGAATGTAAAGTGAAGGCAGACGCTGATAAAATTCTACATTAGCCTTTTGGAAATGGGCTTCGTGGCGCGCCAAGTTTCTGACCCCTATAGATAAACTGACTAACTTAACATCTGTTTGAAGATCCAAATCCTGTTGTCTATGTTAAACGTAGAATACTTCCAAGCTGATTTCAGATGGATGAAGGCATATCTTGCCTGCTTGATATCATGAAGAGTAATTAAGAAAGTGAGTATATTGCATAAAACGATATGCTATTAACTGACTGAGGTGCACAGTTGTATACTACCCCTCGATATGTGCATATTGCAGATTGCTAACTAATTTGCAATTAGTGAATCTGATTTATGGTATCACTGGTCGGTCTAAGTAGCTAGACATAAACTTGATGGTTTGAACTGATTATGCTCTCTGAGCTAAGTCCAACCGGGTACACACAGTCGATTAGGTCAGCCCTAGACCAGCGAAATGTTCGTCCAATGTTTAAATCCCTTCTATCTGTCTGGTTGGCAAGCACTACTGGTCGATCCAGGAGGTATACAACACTACTCATCTCTGTAAATCAGTAGTATATGGTTCTAAACAAATGATGAAGAAGTTGTTCAAAAAGTCTTTTCTTCGTTCACTATTGATCAGTCCTTTGTAACTACATCTACTCTTCAGAAATATAAAGCATTCATCATCGCTCATACTGCAGAATAATTAAATTTCCATTTTAGAAAAAGAAAATACGGAAACTGGTTGCTTTTACTTATTGAAAAATCATTTTATTCGAACTTCCTGTCATATGTAGATTTTGCAGATAAATGGTTATTCTTGTTTTGTTTTTTGTACTAAAAACCAAGTTATTTGGTAAACAATTTCTTTCAATTTTAAAAAAAAATTTATAAGTGTTTATTTATGTAGAAGATGAGGAAAACAAAATTCAACTAGTGAATACTACTTTTAGTTAGCGCGAAATTAGACTG